TTTTTTAGATTTCATGTATAAGTGAAACCGTATGGTATTTGTCTTTCTCTCTGACTTATTTTACTTAACATAATACACTTTAAGTTTATTTATATGTCACAGCATGATTTCATTCTTTTTTATGGGAGAATAATATTCCCATGTGTCTGTGTATCACATCTTCTTATCCATTCATGTATCAGTGGACACCCAGGTAGCTTCCTTATTGTGGCTATTGTAAACAATGTTGCAATGAATATAGGGGTGTATATATCTTTTCAAATTATTGTTTTGTTTTCTTTGGATAAATACCCAGAAGTGAAATTCCTGGGTCATAACTGCAGTTTTATTTTTAATTTTTTAGAAATCTCCGTACTGTTTCCCATAGTAGCTGCACTAATTTACAATTCCACTAGTAGTGCATGAGAGTTCTCTTTTCTCCACATCCTCGCCAACACTTGTCAATTGTTGTCTTTTTGATAATAGCCATTCTGACAATTAGCTGATATCTCATTGTGGTTTTGTTTGTGTGTCCCTGATGAATAGTGATTTTGAGCATCTTTTCATGTGTCTGTTGGCCATCTGTATGTCTTCTTTGGCGAAATGTCTATTCAGATTCTCTGTCCATTTTTTAATTGGATTGTTTGGTTTTTTTTTTGATGTTGAGTTGTATGCATTCTTTAGATATTTTAGATATTTTAGATATTAACCCATGATAACATTTGCAAATATCTTCTCCCATTTATTTGGTTGCATTTTTGTCTTGCTGATGATTTCCTTTGCTGTCCAAAAACTTTTTAGTTTGATGTAGTCCATTTGTTTTATTCTTGCTTTTGTTGCCTTTGCCCAAAGAAATATAGCCAGAAAAATATTGCTAAGACTGATAACAAAGAGTTAATTTTACTGCTTGTGTTTTCTTCTAGGAGTTTTATAGTTTCAGGTTTACGTTTAAATCTTTAATCCATTTTGAATTTATTTTTGTGTATGGTGGAAGGAAGTGGTCTGGTTTTATTTTTTTGCATGTATCTGTCCAGTTTCTCCAAAGCCATTTATTGAAGAGACTGTCTTTTCCCCATTGTATATTCTTGCTTCCTTTTCCATAGATTGATTGACCATATGAGCATGGGTTTATTTTTGGGCTTTCTATTTTGTTCCATTGATCTATGTGTCTGATTTTGTGCCAGTAACAAACTGTTTTGATTAGTATAGTTTGAAATCAAGGAACGTGATACTTCTGACTTAGTTCTTCTTTCTCAAGATTGCTTTGTCTTTTGGTGGTCTTTTATGGTTCCATACAAATTTTAGGGTAATTTGCTTTAGTTCTGTGAAAAATGACATTGATATTTTAATGAGGATTGCATTGAATCTGTAGATTGCTTTGAATAGTGTGAACATTTTAATGATATTAATTCTTCCAAACTTACGAGCGCGGTATATTCATTTTCATTTATTTGTGTCTTCATTTTCTTTTATCAATGTCATAGTTTTCAGAGTAGAAGTCTTTTATTTCCTTGGTTAAATTTATTCCTAGGTATATTTTTTTGATGTAATTGTAAATGAGATTGTTTTCTTAATTTTTCTGATAGTTTGACATTTATTTTTGAATAAGGAGAAAGATTAGTCAGTTTTATTTTTACCCCAATTGCAAGCCAGTTGTTAGACTTTATAAATATCCAGTCTTTGGCTACTGATTTAAAATGACTCATTTTCTTATATTAAATTTACTTATATATTTGAATCTATTCTTGGGATCTATTCTATTGTATTGATCTGTCTGTTTCTGAATAATTATTAGAGATTTTATTTCTGTGGCTTTCTTCTCTTTATAGGATAAGTATCCCTTATTTTTCTTCTTTTTCAGGTTTTCTGTCTACTTTTGCAATATTTACTTGATGAACTTAAAAACGTTTGGTCAAACTAACA